TTTAGTGGAGCAAAGGGGCCCAAAGTGGCCGATTGACGGAGGGCCCCCAGCGGTTGCGTTACGCCACTGATTCTGGACCTGAATACTTGAAGATTGCGAAGCGTTTGAACTTTGAAGCGACTAGCGAGAGATGTTGTACTTGCCATGGTCTGATGAATTTCAACGCTACGCGTTGCTATTTGCTTGAACAGGAATGTATCGATCAGAAATTTATTCATACAACTAAACCACTTAACCAACGTCTCAATAATTGGAAACTTACTTCAAAGTCGAAAGGTATCGTGCAATGAAACCTTACAATGCTAGTATATTTGTAAAATTTATATGTGCAAGAATTTCTGTTCAGAATTTCCCGTGCAGGATTGTCTGATCCTGCACGGCTATTGACCAATCAAATTGCGTGTTTCACTGTAGTTATTATATAATTCTTATTGCTTGATTTAAAAATAATATATTTACTTTTTGTTGTATTTATTGATAATTTATTCACATTAAGGCCAATTAGTTATTTTATTCATTTCTTCTTGCATGATGTTTGTTAATGATTTCAGATTTTTATCAGAATAAAAAGCATTAGTGTCATCAGCATACGTAACAAATTAAATAACTTCACTACAATTTTCAATGTCATTAATATATAAGAGAAAAGGAGTGGTCCAAGAATTGATCCTTGCGGAACTCCTGTAGATGTCCTTTTGTTTGATCTATGATTACCAATTTTAACACGTTCTTTTGTATAAGTAGTTTTCAAACCATTTAAGACAATTTCGTCTTATACCATAATGTTCAAGTTTTTTTAAAAGAATTTCGTGGTTTACCGTATCAAAAGTCTTGGATAGATCAAGGAAAATACCGATTGTAAATTTACCTTCATCTATAGCTTTTGATATTTTGTCAGTTAATTCAGTAATAGCATGTTCAGTTGACCGATTTTTTCGGAAACAATATTGATGTTTAGATAAAAATTTGTTTTTTCTCAATGTATGAAATCAGTCTTTTATACATCAGTTTTTCAAGCAATTTTGAAAAACATGAGAGAACCGATATTAGTCAATAATTTTCAAACAAATGTTTTTCATTTGCTTTAAAAATAGGGGTAACAAGTAGTCTAGGACCTGTATAGGTGTTTGTATGCGTTTCATTTAGCACAGGTAATATCAACTGTTTTAGGGTAAAATGACCATGGCGGTCAACATGGCATATGTGCCAAAACCTGAATCCGGGACGAAAGTCCTGAAAATGACCCCGCCCTGAAACGGCAGTGTCGACATAGCTCTAACTTCCGAAAAGGAAAAGCGATAGCCTTTCTGAAGTGCTTATAGTGTTTAGAAGGGTTGCTTTTAGGGGTGGTTATTGGAAGGAAAAATTTGTCTAAGTATAATATTTTACCAGAAAATGACTATGCACCACCCAGGTAAATTGCTGATTATGCACAAAATAACTAATATGCCTGGCAGAAATTTAATGTTCTTATTTCCTAAAGAAAATTATCATGGGATGAAAAACTATGCTTAATTTAATATAATTATTGTAGTTTTCATAAGGATTGTCATTGTTTTCTTTAAATATAATACATTTTAATTCACTCACCCCCCACGAAAACACCATTTTAGCCATTCTTTGCGGTCTTGTCTGCTTTTTATCGCCGAGTCTCGCAGGTGTCATCCAGTTGTTGTACTTTTACATAATGATAGATGGATAAAGACGATTTAGACGAAGTTTAATGAAGTTTTGAAACAGTGCAGCATATTTTATCTTCGATATTGTGTCCTTCGATATTTCGTCAAATTGCCGCCATGTTAATGGCTCGCCGCTTCTCTGCCCGATAAATGCCACTTCTTCGTCTTCCTATGTGTTTAGACTACAGTATCCAAGAGTACTTCGTTGTAGAATAGTCCCAATCGAAAAAATGAAAACATTTGTTGGGTTTTGATGGCAAAACCCCCCAGGTGATTATTAAGGTTCAAAATAAAATACAAAGCATTTGAAAGTCACGCGCAATCTTCGCGAAAACTTCTCGTGGACACATGACAGGGGGGGGTGAATGTTTTCACGAAACGTTTGTTCGCCACCACAGAAACCTAAAATATATTTTATTTATTGTATTTTTATAAATTATGATAAAACAATAAATATTTGTGTAGTTTTATCATAATTCATAAAAATACAATAAATAAAATATATTTTAGGTTTCTGTGGTGGCGAACAAACGTTTCGTGAAAATATTCCCCCCCTGTCATGTGTCCACGAGAAGTTTTCGCGAAGATTGCGGGTGACTTTCAAATGCTTTGTATTTTATTTTGAACCTAAATAATCACCTGGAGGATTTTGCCATCAAAACCCAACAAATGTTTTCATTTTTTCGATTGGGACTACTCTACAACGAAGTACTCTTGGATACTGCATGTAGTCTAAACACATAGGAAGACGAAGAAGTGGCATTTATCGGGCAGAGAAGCGGCGAGCCATTAAAATGGCGGCAATTTGACGAAATATCGAAGGACACAATATCGAAGTTAAAATATACTGCACTGTTTCAAAACTTCATTAAACTTCGTCAAAATCGTCTTTAGCCATCTATCATTATGTAAAAGTACAACAACTGGATGATATCAGCGAAACTCGGCGATAAAAAGCAAACATGATGGCAAAGTATGGCTGAAATGGTGTTTTCGTGGGGGGTGAGTGAATTAAAATGTATTATATTTAAAGAAAACAATAACAATCCTTATGAAAACTACAATAATTATATTAAATTAAGCATAGTTTTTCATCCCATGATAATTTTCTTTAGGAAATAAGAACATTAAATTTCTGCCAGGCATATCAGTTATTTTATGCATATTCAGCAATTTACCTGGGGTGGTGCATAGTCATTTTCTGGTAAAATATTATACTTAGACAAATTTTTCCTTCCAATGACCACCCCTAAAAGCAACCCTTCTAAACACTATAAGCACTTCAGAAAGGCTGTCGCTTTTGCTTTTCGGAAGTTAGAGCTATGTCGGCACTGCCGTCTCAGGGCGGGGTCATTTTCAGGACTTTCGCCCCGGATTCAGGTTTTGGCACATATGCCATGTTGACCGCCATGGTCATTTTACCCTAAAACAGTTGAGATTACCTGTGCTAAATGAAATGCATACAAACATCTATACAGGTCCTAGACTATAAGTGAAATTTTATAGGCCTATCTTCCAAGCAAGGATTTTTTTTTTGCACTATGCATGGAAAGATTTTTTTTCCCTAATTTTTTTCTCTGAATAATTTTTTTTTTTGGTTTTGCCCCCCCCCATCACTTTTCTAATGGTCCGTCCCTTACAACATGTTCACGACAGTTACGGCCATGCATATGAAAACCAGGCTTAAGGCGGTTGCATGCGACAGTTATGGGCAAAAGTTGTGTAGTCTAAATCGGCCTTAATACCAGACGATTTTACTTGTCAATGGGGAAAAGTGCTGCCACACAATGTGTTAACTAGTGTTCACGTTAAAAAGTTAACTGCTTAACATTAAATACCTGCCAACAAACTTAGCAATTTGTCTGCTATTTTTGCCACAGTTTTGGTACTTATGCCTACACGTCTATGACATCTGTACAATGCTTGACGCAGCCTGGTTCCCAGACTTTATCGTTCTTCTAGACAGCGAGGGTGTTGTACGGCTTATAGCCCCGAGCATGCAAATACAAGCGATAAAAGCCTAGGCAAATTTGCAAAAAAATATCTACTGTATAAGTCTATAAGACACCTTATATACAAGACACCTGAGGGAGTAGTGTGAAATTCATAGTCAATTTTGAGTTTTTAACGCTTAAAATGTGGAAAATAGACTAATTAATGCTATAAGTTGCTATTTTGCTAACTTTAGCACCTTTAAGTTCTTTGTATGTTTGCATGGCGATAAAACATATAATAGTTTTGTTTGTGGAAACACCACATAAATTTATTACTGCAAAGCTTTCGATCCGTATGCCCGTATCTTCATCATCTTTTGCACCTTTAACTCAAAATTGGCTTCAAAAATCACGTTACTGCTTGAATATATTATACATGTACGCTTTTTAAAACTTACTAATGGCATTGCTTATTTCTGAAATTTTGTTAAACTTGAACTTGAAATTTTGCAAAAGATAGGCAAAAGATTTGCAAAATCAGAAGTGCCAACATTATGAAAATGTCATGTTAGCAGCTAAAAGTGCCATTGGAGTGTAGCTTTCAGAAAGTGGGCTGGCCGTGACTACTATATGTTTTTCTCATATTGTTTCTTGCATCAATCTTTTTCTCTAGTTGGAGGATGGACATACTTTGTTTGACTATGATGTCGGGCTCAATGATATTGTTCAATTAATGATCCGTGTTAATGTGCCTGAGGTGAAGGATATGTCAAAAACGCCCGTCAAAGATGAACAAGAAACTGGTGATAACGGAGTAGCATCAGATGATGATCATAATGTAAGAATCTCCTCAGTATACAATTTTTACAATTTTATTAAAAGAAGAAATGTTGAATAACCCACCTGCATTTAGCAAGGATATTCTAGGCGGGGGTTATACACACAACAAAATATTATATAGAGGAAAAAAATTACATTGGCTAGGAATAATGTACATATATAGTGATTTTTTTGTTATTTTCTTTTAGTAGATATAAATTATGTTTTACCATTAGCGCGTAACATAATTATTGCATAGAAATATTCTAGGCTATTTGCTAGTATTTAGTAAATTCAACTTACCAGTTTTCAAAATGATTTGTTAAATTAAGAAACCGTAGAAGCTCTCCGCATAATATGGGCGAGATCAACATAGTCATCACAAGAAATTAGGATTTCCAGCAACATTCGCTTACATTTCTTTTTAAATGTCGGTTCACTCAAATTACGAATTGATAGAAGAATCGGTAGAGTATAGGCTTAGCTTCTTACAGGCCTCGGAATTCAGGTCGGCTGCAAGTGCCAACCCGATTGTGATACCCCACCTATCGTCATGTCCGGATGGCAAGAAATTGCCAATCTGCAATTAAACTTTTCAAATGAAAAGTCAGAACACAAGAAATTAGGCAATATATTCATGCATTTATACATATTTAAACTTTAAAAGAGTGTCAGCAAATTTCCGTTTCGTAAACGGTCATTGTCACCAGTAAGGGTCGAAGGGTCGCTGTCGTCAATTCACATGAAACTCGATATTTCGCGTAATTGCCACCACACGGGGGCATTTGGTCAGACGTGTGCAACTTTGGCGCGTGTGCAATATACTACACGTGTTGTCTTGTCTAAAATGGCGGATGACGTCAATCTCAGTGTGAAAGATTTCGATGATCGCTTTGGTTCAGCTATTACGAAAATCAACTGCCGTTCATTTTGGAAAGATTTATCACTACAACAGAAAGAAGAAATTGAAACAAAAGCATTGGAGAAGTTACTGAACTGACTGAAGACTGATGTAATCACCCCGCGTGGCGTGAAAATTGTACAATTACACACGCGTGACCTATTGCCCCCGCGTGGCAGCAATTGTGCGAGGCGTGAAATATCGAGTTTCATGCGGAATGATGACGGCAACCTTTACTGGTGGCAATGACCGTCAAATGTCTTTGATTAATGGTACCCATAATCCAGCCAATGTCATTTCGATGGAATATCGCGTACCCAATAGTCGAGTCAAATCACTATAAGTACATGGTCCTGATCAAAGTAATCGCAATAGATTTGTTTTCAGTGGTAAAGTGTGAGAAAAGTTGTTCTGATTAACATACTAAAAATAAAAAAAAATCCCTTCGGTGGAACATGGTGAAAATCGAGTTTTTCTTACTTCTGCCTATAGAAAACCATTGTGGACAGAATGTTGAAATTTTGAAATCATTTTTAGGCAAATGTAACCTACATTATTGGAAAGCGTAGAAAAAACTAAAATATAGATCATTAAACAGTTACCTTGCTTTTGCCTATCCAGCCGAAGTTATACAAGATTTAAAATGCCATAAATTTGTATTTTGTGCAAACTTTGCGCTATTTTTCCAACTTTGAGCTAGAATAACGAGAAACTGACCAGTAAATTGAATATAACGGTTTAATTGACCTTTATATAGTTTTGTTTAAGCTTTCCAATAATGTAGGTTACATTTGCCTAAAAATGATTTTAAAATTTCAACATTCTGTCCACAATGGTTTTCTATAGGTAGAAGTAAGATTTTCACCATGTTCCACCGAAGGGATTTTTTGGGATTTTTAGTATGTTAATCAGAACACCTTCCCTCACATTTTACCACCGAAAAAAATTCTATTGCAATTTCTTTGACCTCTGGTCACAGATTGACTGGACTACTACCAAAGTTTGAAACTGAAACATGCATTGAATATATAGTCAGTAATTTTCAATAATGCCCAAGCATAAACACGTCACGTAAATAAGGTTTAATTCTGCTTAGCGAATTAACGTAATGGCGACGCTAATCGGTTTGGACTTGTTTACATTTTGCGTATAAATGTCGAATAATGTTTTCGCCCCGAAAGTTGCCTCTGGTTTATACATGTTGGCTACAACTAAATTTTATTGAGAACTAGATCTAGAGTTTGCTGACCTGTCATGTCGACCTGCTTTCATTTCACATCAGCAAAATTTTGCCGACACCGCCTGATTTTCTACTAATCCCGCGACAATACATAGTTAATATTGAGTTTTAAATATTTTCTATGCATCACGGTCAAGATCTCGATTCGTGTGATTGATGTATGTATGTGTATGTAAAACTTTATTTAATGACTCTATACTTGTCAACAGTGACAGTTGATTTCCACAAGGGGCGTCACTAGCACACGAGGGATATATTTACAAAGTCAAAGAGAGAAAAACATAAATATATAGCTATTTACAAGAGATTTATAAAAGGAAATTAAATTGGTGTGACCCGGTCGTATATTAAGATCTATAGTTGTTTCTATCTAAAAATGTGTACGTTTTTGATAGAGTAAATTGATTGCGCGCTTCCTTAGCTTCGCGCGGAAGATTATTCCTCCTCGTGAATAACTCTTTCAAATTTGGTGCATCACAATCGTTCAGAATTTTATATAATAACGTTGCCTTACTCATGCCTCGTCTCGAATCTAAATTTTCCCATTGAAGAGCCCAAAGCATGCACATACCATGATAATTATCACTTATTTACTGAGACCGAGGGAAACAGTGTGTTTTGTGGACTCGAGACCGTCGATGTTTCCCGAGGCGAAGCCGAGGGAAACATCGACGGTCGAGGGTCCACAAAACACACTGCTTTCCCGAGGTTTCAGTAAATAAGTGTTTTATTATATATCAATAGTCAAAGAAACAACAAATTAAAGAACAAATGAACGTAAATACATGAAATATTTTATTGTTAAAACGTTAAATTAAACACTGGCTATACACTGCAGTTACTTGAAGCGAAAGTTTTAATTACGTACTAGGAATGTCCAAAGGTCGCATCTTCACGTGATGGCGCACGTGAATTTTTTGTTATTCGCCGGTCGATAACGTATTATCTCCCTCTTGCGCTGTTGCGAGGGAGACAGCCTAATTTCGTCACTCTCACGTGATATGTTCTCAACCAATAAAACACTAGAAAAATGCGACTTTGACTATTGATATATAATAATATATTATGTTTTCACTTCAGAATACAACTGAGAGTAAAGATAACACTAGCGATGATGTCAAGGGATTATACAAGGTAATCAGGCAATTTATTCAATTGATGTTTAAATTTATGATAGAAACTTAGCAATTTCTGGGCTTGTTTATTGCGGATTTCGATTTAGCGTTTCAGACTTTCCGTTTCCGGTGATTGTTTTTCCGTTAAAACGAACAAGTTGCTAAGGGCTTTCGCCATTGTTGCTAAAGGCAAAAAGGCGCGAATTTTAATATAAACATGCAACGGTCGAGAACATAGTATATCATGTTTATATATAGATCATGTAGTCAGCAGTACAGGAAGTTTTGTGAACGGAAAAGCTTTGTCAAAGGAATTTAGATCATGCCTTCTCAAATTCATTAATAATTCATGACAATTCAGCCAATGATAATCGCCTATTTGATCACAAGATGCCATTTGGATAACCTGGTGAAACTTGATGAAAGTCACTAGTGTTTTCATCAAATATCTTAATTACGCATGCAAAATTTAATACTTGAATAGAATTCCTAATTACGTTATGCTTGGTTAAAATCAGGTATTCAAATCAGCAAACGAAAACATTCTGTTACGTCTCGATTCATTTGAGAAGCCATATAAACAACTCGAGCTCGTGTCTCACCGGGATATCCAAACACTCGAAAACAATGTATGAAAACACTCAACAATGTATGAAAACACTCGCGCTTCGCGCTCGTGTTTTCATACATTGTTTTCTCGTGTTTGGATATCCCGGTGAAACACTCGCTCTCGTTGTTCATATGTTACTTCAAGACTTTCTCAAATAAAGTTGATATAGAAATGTTCGGTTCAGACTGGGTGTAAACTGGTCTTTCAGTTAATCAAAATCTTCCTTGGTCGCAAAGGACAGATTTTCTTGACACAAATTAGCACGGATAGCCCGCCTCATACAAACATTTCCTACAGTACCATGATAATACTCTTGTTCCATATAATTGTTCTATACTACTTTATTCGTTCATTATAAAATAAACAAATGCAATATGTACTGTTTTAAACACGCGTAGGAGTGTTTTATCATATTTAATCCGATAATGAGGACTGGACTAGATTTCAAATCCGCTCCAGATTGCAAGTCCGAGGCGACACCGAGGACTGAATCAAAATCCGAGGATTTGAAATCTAGTCCAGTTCTCATTGTCGGATTTGAAATGACATCTCATACGAATAAATCACTATTTAAAGTGAGGTGAATTAATTTTGATCCAATCCTAGGACTGGATCAGTATACTTCACCTGGTATCCAGTATTATCATGTGAGCAAAATAAAGCAATACGGTTGGCTAATTTACTCATGAATTATTAATGAGTTTGAGATATGATAACATACGACTACAAGTGTTTTGAATAGCTTCAAACATGATTACAATAGGTGCCGTCTCATTAGTATTCTTTATACATGTATAAAGAATTCTAATTAGGATGGATTTTTATAAGGTATTGAAAACGCTATACCAATGATATCTGTACAAGTATGAAATTCGATTATCTGTTTCTTTACCATTTTTCAATAAAGAGTCTGTGAAGTTGCAAGTTCTAAGTCCGTAATAATGTTTAAGAATGCGATGTACGAGTTTATGCTGTCTTGATAATCCTACGAACCTACAATAACCCCGTTGTTGATTTTTCTCATTTACAAAAAGGCAAAAACAAGTGCAAACAATATCCACGGTTTACATCAAACTACCAACATTTTCCGACTGTTACCGAATGTGCAACGATTAAATTTCGCCAATTTACGATTGTTTTGTTGATAATTTTTGCAAATTCAAAGTTGTTAATTCGTTATTAAACCTACTCACAATGATTTCATGTACAAATACAGTTACCAGGAAAGAACAGATTCTAAAATATGGAAATTTAAAAGCATTGGCTTGCATAATGCGATGTGAAGACAAGGCTTAATGTGCTATTTGTTTGAAGTGGAAGTCAAGTACATTCTGCGCATCGGTTCTGCTCATAACAATGTGAGGAGTCTGAGGACCTCTAATGTGAACTTTGCCCAAATTTCGAATGTTTCGAATTTATATTCGACATAAACTCTATTTCATATTCATTTAGAAGCATAGCGAACCAAAATGGTGTTAGATATTCAGACAGTACATCATACTTTAAATTACTTCCACTTTAAATATCCACATCCTGTAGTGAATCAATTCAAGATTTTAGATATTTCTGTGACTGTTATTTTAGCGTAAAAAACTATAATACTATGAAATAAAATACATTTGTATTTATTGATATTCACTGTCTACTCCTTCATCAACTTACACCAATGCCATGCACATACCCTTATATTCTAGCAACTACATTGTCCAGCTGTCAGGAATAAGCCATTTTTAGTTGCCATATGAAACGTTATTATTTTTTCCATGAGTTTTAAATGTCGCATACTAAATGGTTGGAAATTACGAATTTATCATTTCCTCGTCACAAATAAACAACTGCTAGTTTGTACAGTACTGTAAAATCGCCGTTTGTACATTTGTACAGTACTGTAAAGGCATCGGTCACTAATAATGGGAGGGGAGCCGTCCCAATCGCAAGACCTTTATTTTCAGGATGCCCCCACCTTCATCTAGAAAATTTGGGTCCACCCAACATTTAATTCGTTACATTTTTTGGTGTAAAATAGGTAATGGGACAAGTACTGGTGTAAGACATTGTGTAGCCTAAATAATTAGAGGACCAGTATCCAAAATGGTTGTTATTTATACTCCGACTCCTATGGTGAACTGCATGTACGTAATAAACTATGGAAACTATACGATTATAGGAACTAAACTGGAGATCCAAGGATAGTGCAATGTTTCAAATTAAAAAAGACACTGCAAGTGTATGGGGGCATGACGTGCATGGAAACGCTGTGTCTCATTAAAATCGTGTTGCTCTACACTGTAGGTTGGTGATAAAGTAGACGCGAAAGACTGTGACATGGGCGCTTGGTTTGAGGCAGAGATTGTCGAACTTTCGATGGACCGTAGTACTGAACCAACAACTGTACTTTATCACGTCGTGTATGATGGGTAGGTCACAGCTTGTTTTAACGACTTTGTTTGTAAGGTTCTATCACTCAATTTACAACTGCTTTTTTTAGCTATGAGGAAGATGAAGTCTCCAAACTAAGTGAAAAAAATGTCCGACCAAGAGCCAGTGTTAAACTGCCGTGGAACCAGGTATATAGCTGTAAGAAAGCTTTGGATATTGATTATAGGGCTACAACTACCTGATAAATACAAGGAGAAATTCGACGTTTCGAGCGAAGGCCCTTATCGCTGGCACTTGATAATAATAGAGATGAGAGGATTAATTGGAAAATATCAATCGGCAAAATCAACCATTTTTGAAGTATACATGATCAGTCGATCATTGGACTACGACCATAGATATCTTATATACACTAGATAGCGCATCTCTTTTAGTAAAATTGAAGCCAAGAATATTCCAGCGGTTACCCCCATTTGCATAGATGGCGGCCATATTGGTCATTCCCACTTGCTAATAAACGCTTAAAAACGACAATAACTTTCATCATTTGAATAGTTTAAAAACGTATTTGGAATAGGGTTAACTTAATGTTTAAGTTCCCTGTTTAAGAATAGAAAACATACGAATCTTCTCATTTCATGGGAACGACCTGAGACTGCACTCACAGCTTCAATTGTTGAATTGCAGAATAATTAGATGCACTATCTAGTGTATATAAGATATCTATGACTACGACCGGCCAACTTTCTGAAAGTATACACTCGGATGGCATGTTTTGTTACAAGCTTCCAACTATGTTGACAAAAATGCAAAATTTCATATTTGTTTTTCCCAATAATAAACTGCACCATTAGAAAGGTCTCAAAAAAGTATGTATAAAACATTAAAATAAAGCGAGTAGTTGGCAAAATAGTAACTTTTAGCATGCATAAACTAGCGTATTTTCTTCATTTTTGAACGTTAAAAACGGCTATACGAAAATCATGCTACTCACTTAAATGTCTTGTATATATTTGCGAAGTTTCTACTAATGATATATATACATTTATTTTTGTTAAAAATAAACCCGAAATTTTTGCATTTTTGTCAACATACTCTAATAGTACTTTAATAGGCATATTTAAAACTCAAATTTCCGGCCAACATATCTAGTATATTCTTCATAAATGCAGATATACTCTATGCAAATGCCCGTTGGCAGCTTGTAACAGAAAATGCCATCAAACAAACTTTCGTGTACATATTCAGGTTTTGGCCGGCCCTCTACTTAACAAGTTTGATTTATGAAACATGTTGAAATCTTAGTTGCTTGTCAATCTGCCACTGAAGGACAATTTAAAAACTGGAGTTTGTTTTTATTTTTTCTTTCCGTAATGTTTGATATTTGACAAAAGCTGCGATGAATATACCTTGCAGTTTTTTGTCATTGATTTTATACAACAACTATTTTCTGTTCTATATACTACTGTCTTGAAGGGCATATGACTCGAAAATTGACGGGGTTTTTGTCTAATTAGAAAGATAATTGAAAACTATTTTTGTTTTCTTGTTTCGTTTTGGAGATATTTCATTTTGTATGATATGCAAATGACCAATTTTCTACGTCACACATGCATAATGACTTACTTTAAAATGTTATATAATTTTGTCACTACCAAATAAATTCGCTCAAAATGAATGATGAGCACGAGATTTGTCCACAACAACACCCATGTAGGTTTTCTGCTGATTGTGTTTAGTCGTATTAAAGATATACAGCTTCTATGTCTAAATCATTATGCATATGTGACGTAGGAAGTTGGTCCTTTGCATATCATACAAAATTAAATAACTCCAAAACGAAGCAAGAAAACAAAAATCTATCAAGCAAGTTACTCTACACTTTTCATGCAATGATCTTTCAAATTAGACTAAAAAATAACAAAGTTAATTTTCGAGTCATATGCTCTTTAATCTTCAGAGCTGCTACTAATTTTACTATACTAAAATATTTGTTTCATGATTTAGTTATTTGTTGGTCAGATAGTGATGGCAAATTATAATACAGACGAACCGAAAGAAAGAGGTTTTTGGTATGACGTTAAAATAACACGTAAAGTAAGTTACTTTCATGAACGCTTAAACTTTTGCCTTTTTAGTGTGAAGTTTCTTCGAAACTTCACAGTATTGTGATGACTGGGGGAAATTCAAACGAAACAGTCAGTCATTCATTCATTCATTCATTCATTCAGTCAGTCAGTCATACAGTAAACTTTCCGGGGGGTGTGTACGATTTGTGTTGGTAGTGATTTATTGTACTTAGTCAGTACTTTAAAGGTTATTTAGGCAATTTCAGTTTACTTATTCACATATTCTGTTATCCTTTTGCCAAGTTCACAAAAATTTCAAGGAATCGCTTTCGTATTGTAATTTTTTGTAAATTTTAAAACATTCGCTTCTCATGTTGTGTAAAGGATCTTTACCCCGGAACACCCGATTTTTTCTTTAGTAACGCAAATGCGCATGCGCTATCAAGCCATAGATCACGATGGCGTGACGATATGCTAGTAGGGAGTGACAGTGTTGTTTTCAGATGTATAAACATTTCAGACGTGGATATTGAGTAAATCTTTGAAAATCTACGCAATATATAAATTGATCTTATGTATTACAAGCGTTCAATTAAGTGCCGATAATATTTGGACGGTATATTCATTATACAGAGCTAGGAAGGAGTAGACCGCCCAGACAGTGCAGTCAACTGTATTAAACATTTCAGACGTAAATATTGAGTCGAATTTCTTTGAGATTCTAGGCATTCAATTGAGTGCCGATATTATTATCACGGTATACTCATTATACAGAGGTACAGTACGTAGGCAGAAGCGAGACAGTGTTGTTTTCAAGTATATAAACATTTCGGACATGAATATTGAGAAAATCTTTGAGATTCTACGCAATAATACAATATATAAATTGATGTTGTGCATTACCGGCATTCAATTCAATTAAGTGCACATCGATATTATTTAGACCGTGTATTCATTATACATTGTCATTGACAGTATAAGCCAAGGTGTACACTCACTCACTCAGTACAAAGAGCGAAAAATTGCATCGGATCTGTAACAGATCAATAAAACATAAACAACTATTAAACAGAAACGGGTGTTTGTACTGCGTTTACGAAGAAAATAACTTGCGAGACTAAAGAAATCAGTTGAGCCAGAGCTCCGTATTTGAATAAGAAAGACGAGGAGATAGCCAATGTGTTATCGCCAACGTGTTATCGCCAATCGCTTGGCTCGCCAACAAGCTTTATGCAATAGAAGAAAAAAGCAAGGAGGTACATGGTACATGTACGTAGCCAACGTGTATCGTCACGGACCTTGTTTTATACTGTCTAGCACAACGCCGTTGTCAACGGTGAAAATTCGTGTTCAGTGCAACGATAACTCTACCAGATCTTACGAGAATCAATCTGTAGTATTCTGTACACGAACTGTATCAAAGATTGCCAAAACTGCTTTAATTTAAACACTGCTATACTGTGAAACTATTGAAATCTACAGTGACATTATTCAAAACATGCGAAAAGCTAAAAATAGACACAACGTGACACTGGGAAAAGTCAAAGGTCAATGAGACTTGTTATTGTTAAGCATGTCAAAATTAGGTTAAATGCGGAAGCGGAAGGAGCGGATCCACGGAACGGATATGCGAATAAAATACGGAACGGATGAGGATAAAATGCGTCCTTTTAATGATGTATTATTCATAACATATCTTATACAGCTATTTCAATTACAGTTTTAGATAAATTTAGGATAGCAGTAGCCTCGTGGGGATGCTTTAGCGACAGCTGCAAATGCAAATGAAAATTTAGAATATGAAAAATTTGGTTGTTGGTGAAACAATTTAAATTTCGAATTGTTGCGTGTAGCATCGCAGTAAATAGATAAATTGCATCAGTTTCACAAGGCACGTTTCTGATGTGTTAGGCTTGTTTCAAACGTCACGCTACTCGTGTGCCCAGCGTATTAAAAGCAATAAATAATAAGATGAAATGCCTTTGGTAACTGTTTATTTCGTAGTGTAAGCCATCAGCTTTTCTAGGTTGTCGGCGACCCTATATAGTTCTTGCAGTGTCTTTTTCAATTTGAAACTTCACACTATCCTTGGATCCCTAGTTAGTGTGAAGTTTCACTTCACACTATTGTGATGGCTGGCGAATTCACACGAATCAGTCAAACAGTCATAGAGTAAACTTTCCGGGGGGTGTATACGATTTATGTTCGTAGTGATTTATTG